CTGTCAACGGGGGGGGGGTGAAATATTAGCGCCGGTGTTAATTTATGCCGTGTTGTGCATGCCCACTGCACCTCGCGGGAGCGCGCCACAGCGTAAAGCATGAACTCCCAGACATTTCAATGATTTGTACGGCATAGTTAGGTCTGGAAACGACATAAGGGCATAACACCGGAGTCCTGCTGCGGGGAAACTTTGGAGCTGTTCTGAGTTTGTTCTAATCCGGCAAAATGACGGACTGCTTTCAGATTTTTCCGTCATTGTCAAAAGAATTCCGTCATAGGAGGAATATATTCGGTTAACGCGACCTCTGGATTGGATACACCAGAGGGGGGTAATCAATATCACAGGTCAGGGAATGGACCTCTGGGAAATTATGCAACATTTTCAACAGCAGATAATCAAATGTGTTTTTGTTTTTTTGTAAAATGTAATCCGATCCAATCTAGGAGGGTTCAATAAATGAGAGTCCTTTATACTGTGACCAATAATATCAAAGGACATTTTGAAGACGAATGGCAATACGATTGATTGCACACAAGCCTTCTCACACATTATGATGTTGTTACTGAGGCTATAAACAGCTCTCTCAGCACTGTTTTTGTGAACTCTGAGAAATGCTTTTGTAGTTATCTCTTCTAAAAGCTGAGAAGTAACCACTCTGAAAAAGAAGGGGGGAATTGGAGCCAGAAACATAGGTTAAGGGTGCATTCTTTGGAGTGGCTGAAAAACCTCTTAAAAGAAGAAATTGAAAATGTTTCCAGAAGGGAATGCACAATGGAAACAATGGGGAGCCTAGCAATGATTTATCTTGCTTGTAAGTCATGTAGTGTTTGAAAATAAAGCGTATACAGCCGAAACTGTATCAATAAGACCGTAACGGAAAATAGAGCAAAAGTGTTTTTAACAACTTTGGAGAACTGGCAATGCAGATTAAGAGGACGTGGGTGAATTGAGGAGGACAGACAGTTGAATTATAGTAGGCTGTGAAGTCTTGCGCCAAATATTGAATTCATTTTTCAAAGGGTTTGGATGGTGTTGTTTCGAAGCCATGTTAGGCCTCATAAGGACTCCACATTAAACTCTTGATTGTTAACATACCTTGCTCTTCATCAGTAAGATCTTTGGGTAAAATGAGTCCTAATGATCCCTCCTCCACTGGTCCTGCATCTGATGGCTTCCTCAGCTGAACTTCCTGGGAATTATCACTACAAGGAAGTGGTGAGGGCACGGTTTTCTGATCTGTGGCCTCTGAGGAACCAGACAGAGAAGATGAAGTTCCTGGAAGCTGAGGCTCTGATGTTACCTCATCAAAAGATGGAAGCTCTGGATATAAGTTTCCCCGAACTGAGGGCTCAAACTGAGGCAGGAGTGTGAGGACTGTAGAAGGGACCAGAGACGAAACACTCAATACTTCATGACTTGTCGGACTTTGAAAAGAAGTTGATGCCCAGAGCTCAAGGGGTAGATAGATGGAAGCAACAACTGGCTGCTGGGCTTCAGAAAAGCTGGTGCTGGTTGTTTGGACCTCAAAATCCATACTTGTGAAGTCGATGTTTGCTGTCATGAAATGTTCGGTCTGTTTAAAGTCCGGGTTCATTTTCTTTGGCGTGATAGTGTTTAGCTTGTGAGGTCGGATTAGCAGTTCACATGTGTCCGTCTGGATAAGATCTGATGGATTTCAGGCATGGGTGAGCTGAGGGGAGGGACACGGGAAGAAGACCTGAAACCTCCTCTCCTGTAGACAACTGCAAGAAACACAAACAGATCACGAGCTTTGAATAATGATTATGTGATTAATTTGATGATGAGAGCACTGATATTCTTTATTATAGACTAGGCCTTTTATAAATTCATATTATTATCTCGTATTACTCAAAACTTTTTTTGTGAGAGGCTTCTGTTCAAGCAAATGTCAGATTTGTTCTATGTGATTAAACTGGGTTAAATTGTGAGGCGTAATAAAAATTAATTTCCCAAAAGACTACGAAAATGTCCAAATGATTAAAAAAAATTATCTGGGGAAGAAATTAATCTAAAAGCAAAGGAAGTGTAAAATAAGGCCACCAAAAGTACTTTCCTAAGAATTATGAGCTATTTACAAAGGCAGTTTTAAACTAAATAACGCCAAGAAAGGACATCTGCACACAATGTTCAGTAAAATACACCTTCCATCACGTATGTACATCTCATCCGTGTATTATTAACATGTTTCAAGCGCTCTCACCTGAATGTCAGCCGTACAGATTTGCACGTGTCAACCTCATTAGTATGCGTTGGGTTTTTCATCCGAGTGTGTGTCCTCCACAGTTATTAAACTGGCTTTATATAGTAGGGATAAGAAATGCATCACTGCCACACCGTCAGTGACAAAACACAGAAGACGACTGCTTGCTCTGGTGCATCTTTTATCCAAAGATAAGTGCTCCGTTAAAGTGAATCCATCATCTCCAGATAGCACGAGTTTCGGCAGTGTGGCACCTCTTTTCTTGTGATTCAACCGCTCTCCTCATCCTCTCTTCAATTACCACTTAATCTCGTTTTTGTCACCCCATTCATCATCTTCCTCTTCCAATCTACTCTTCTTCCCTCTCTCACTTAATCATGCTCCTCTGGTCAGAGCAGGCGAGGCTAAAGCAGTCGGGTCAGTAACGGATACTTGCACTCTTGTCATCGGGGGTCTATGAAATATGCATGGGGATAATTGTGGGCTTGGTCAGAGTTTAATAACAGAGGGTAATGTACACCAGGCCAATGAGTTGTTTCCACTCACAAGTACTGAGGGACATAATGGCAGCACGGACAGACACACATTCACAGAGTCAAGGAGTTGAATTTCTCCGTTGAAAGATATGTATCCAATAATCATGGCCCTATTATGAATCTAAGAAGGCGTAATTGGGTGTACGAGTGTGTGTGTGTGTGTGTGTGTGTGTGTGTGTGTGTGTGTGTGTGTGTGTGTGTGTGTGTGTGTGTGTGTGTGTGTGTGTGTGTGTGTGTCCAGTCCGGAGTATTTTGTTCGTCTTATCATGTTACAGCCTCAGTCAGTGTGAGGTGCCGGCTGTAATAAGGAACCCAAGTCGCAGTGTTACTCAGCATCTTATTATAGGTTACACTTNGAAGTTCATTTCAGAGATCAAACATGGCGAAGGAGATATGACTGCGTCACCTGTTGACGCACATGTCACTGCTTCTTCGGTATGGAGATCATGGGGCAAAACTTTTCATTTACAAAATAAAATAACAGTATTTCTCATAAAGCAACAAAAAAACAAAACATAAACAATAATACTGTATGGCAAGGAAATGCAACAAACAGTAAGGTGAAGTGTCACAAACTAAATACAAATACAACCAAAATCTCATTCTACTGTAGCCTATATACCGAACACATTTTAAAC